AGGCTCTATTCCCTTTGTGCCACTGCAATGGGGAGGAGAGGGCAGGACCATGGTGTGTGTGTGTGTGTGTGTGTGTGTGTGTGTGTGTGGACTTGGGAGATGGCGCCAGTGGTGACAGGCATTATTTCTTGCCTTTGGGGGGGGGGGGGGGGCTGCTGTTGCTTTTCAGGACGGATGGAAGCAGAAGTTATCTTTGGCATTTGTAAGAAAAGTGGCTGATTACTGGCAGGGCTTCACTCAGTCAGGAAGCCTGCAGGAAAATTGATTTATTGTCAACATTAAAGATGCCCTGAAACTAACTGGAGAAACCCAGATGGGCTCCCCTGTCTTTTCTTGTCCTGCACAGGAGAACGGAGCTGGAAAGCAGGTTAGTGGGGTGGGAAGGGAATGGGGATTTTGCAGTATCCTTCCCTTGCCCAGCCATGCCACGCCCAAGTCATCCCATGCCACGCCCACAGAACCAGTAGTAAAAAAAATTGAATCCCTTCACTGCAGTGGCTGCAGGGCCATCTGCTTTCCCCCTGCCCTAGGTACTGCCCAGGCCTTTAGCATTGCTGCGAGTGGCCATAATCTGCACCCAAGTACTGGTTTCTCTCTTGTGAGGGGCTTTGGATGAGGGGACCCTGAGCCCTCTGGGTAAAGTTGAGTGTGGTGTCCTGGGTTGATGCCAGAGTGGTTATGGGGAAGGAAAGGTTGAGTTTGGGGCGCCCTGAACTGTTTCCCAAAGTTGGGGAGAACGAGGCAATCCATGAGGCTGGTGGGAAGGTCACCTGAATGCCAATGGCAGCTGGTTATGCTTTCTGAGCCAAGGGGTAGGGATAGGGGCTTCAGACTTGAAACCATGAGAGGTTTACTCCGAATCCCACATCTGCAACAGCACAACTTTGTCTCTGGGTAGGTTTATTTAAGGCACTGCTAATTCCCATAATGCCCTGGGTTGCTTGGGGTAGAGGCTACCTGCTGAGGCAGCTCACCCATCAAAGGAGGCAGCAGGATGAAGGGGTTGGGGGAGGCATTCTCTGGGGAGGAGTAAACTCCAGTGTAAACCTGGCCCACTGGTGAGAGTGGCCTCTTCATTTCCAAGAAGGGATAGAGGTTCCTGATAGAGATTCCCTTCACTTTTCCCAAAGAACCCCTTTGCTCTGAAATAAATTGAAACTTATATCAGTTTAGGTCAGCAGCTAAGGCAGTGGACTAGAACTTGGCAATTGTGAGTTCTAATCCCGCCTTAGGCACAAAGTCAGCTGGGCTAGTCACTTTCTCAGGCCTAAGAGGGACTTGCAAACGCTTCTGAAAAACCTCAGGAAGACTGTAGACAGTCTCAGAGAAGGACGTGATTGGAAGAAAAAAAAGTGGAAACTGACACAATACGGTGCCCCTCCCCCACACTATTCTTAATTCCATGGCCCTCGGCAACCTTAAAACATTTCTCAAAAGAGCCATCTGGACCCATTTCCCACACCAAACAACACCAGGATCCGAGGCATGCCCAGCACCAACAAGGGCCGGAAGAAGCTCCACAAGAGTGAGGCACCAGCCAATCAGGCCGGGCCCCCTTTCCATCCCTGCGGTTGCCCTTACCTCCCCAGGCCAGGCAGGGAGGGGAGGGCAAGGGGCCTGTCAATGATGGGACAGTGAGCTGCAGCAGAGGGCCCAAAGAACCACATGTGGCTCTGGAGCCGCTGATTGCAGACACCCCCCATAGTGCATATAGGTCAGTGTTTTTATTGCCCCAAAGGTGCTTTTTCAAAGGGCAGCTGGACTTTGTTTTTGTTTAAAGATGTTTTCACTTCCCAGGCAAGAAGCTTTTTCAGTTCAGTTGCCTTTGGGACAACCATGATCTGGACGACTTAGAATCTCCATAGATGCTTTTGTTGCATGACTTGATATATTTTTATAAATAGGCAAACGAAGAAGACATTATTATTTGTATCCCTTAGAACAGGGGGGGTCAAGCTCAAGGCCCGTTTGGTGCTGTCAGCTTCTGCTTTGCTGCTGCTTCAGCTGCCATGAAACGGGAAGGGGGGGGGCGTGTATGTGGGAGGGTTTTACTTGGTGTGCTGGAGGACTGCTGGAGGAAGGTTCTAGGATGTACCAGTCGGTGGGATTGCGCATGCGTACGTGGTTCCCGCCTGCATCAACGGCCTTCACATTCCATCTTGGCCTGTCTTTTTGAAGTTATCTCCCCCACGACAATTGAAGGATTTATGATTGGACTGGAGGTTTGATCCTAAGGGGGGGGAACGGGCTTTGCTATATATCAATTGCTTTCGCGCCATATTAT